ATATATATATATATATATATATATATATATATATATATATAATCTATTGGGAATTCAGCAAGTCTAAATAGCAATAGCATCAATTCAATTCAGTTTATTTATATAATTCGAAGTCACAAGAGAAGTCATCTCAGGGCACTGAACAGAAACATTCATATATAAAAATAATAATTTAACTTTATTTATCTGAGGAGCAGACTGCTTTAAATTTAACTCCATCACAGGACTCTCATCTTGAGCAAGCATGAAGACGACAGTGGAAAGGAAAAACTCCCTCATGAGGAAGACACCTTTAGCAGAACCAGGCTCAGGACAAGCGGCCATCTGCTTCAACCGGTTGGGATTGAGAAGAACAGATACACAATGGCAGGTCGAGAATCACATGTTAAGATAGAAATAGTATCAAATGAAAACTATTCAATTTTAACAATTCATTTAAGGAAATGAGGTCAATTTGTTCTCCAGTAGTCTAAGCCTATAGCATAAAAAGCTAATCTTAACTATAGGATTTATCAAAAAGGAAAGTCTTAAGCCCAGTCTTAAAACTGGACAATGTGTCAGCCTCATGGACAGAAACTGAAAGTTGGTTCCACAAGAGAGGAGCCTAATAACTGAAAGCTTTTCCTCCCATTCTGCTTTTGGAAACTCTAGGAACCACAAGTAAGCCTGCAGCCTGAGAGCGATGTGCTCTGTTAGGAAAATATGGAACAATAAAACCTATAATATAAGATGGAGCTAGGTTGTTGAGGGCTTTGTAGGTCAGAAGTAAGATTTTGAATTCAATTCTGGATATGACAGGGAGCCAATGAAGAGAAGCTAAAACTGGAGAGATATGATCTCTCCTCCTAAACCCAGTTAAGACGCTGGCAGCAGCATTTTGGATCAACGGAAGAGGTTTTAAAGAAGTATTTGGACACCCAGATAATAAACCATTGTAATAGTCCAGTCTAGACATGACAAATGCATGAACCAGTTTTTCTGCATCATTTTAGATAAGATGTTTCTAATTTTCTGTGATATTACACAGGTGGAAGAAGGCGGTTCTTGTAACGTTTTTAATGTTGGGGATAAAAGACATGTCCTGATCAAAAATAACACCAAGATTTTTAACATTAGAGCATCAGCTAACTGTAGCACTTCCTGTGTAAACGAGCAATTCTGGGAGTGCAAATGTATTGTTTGCTGAAATAACTGTAATGCTTAATTGATGGTGATGTAAAGGTTTGTAAATTATTGTTCACATAAATTGTTTTAACATTTTAATGATTGAAGTTGTTTTAGATCAGTTTACTTTGGTCTTGGCTTTGCTCTGATTCTGCTTGAGTTTGTCACTAAAGTCAATAAAATTATATTTCTCCAAACTGAGGTTGTTTAAAAAACATATTTACAATGGGTTAGATATTAACTGGGGACTGCCTAGAAAGGCAGCCCCTATTATTATCCACCTGAAATGGGTCTTGTTCTTCTATTAACTTTAATGTATCCCAAACTACAACGTGTCTCCCCACAAATGTTATATCAAAACGACCGGCTCGGCACTATGATGTGTGCTATTACTTTTATTGGCATTTTGCATTACCATGGCAATGTAGTTTGTAAACAAAGATACCATTTTTCTCATTCAAAATGCCTGACGTAACTTAACAGCCTCTGACTGCCACAGTGAGGTCACATGACCTAGAGGGAAGAAGTCTCTGAGCAAAACACTGAATAATTTTTGTAGTGATTTTGTTTCAAAATGGCTGCCACAGCTACCTCAGAAAACTCAAAATTAACTATAATTCAGTCCTTCTTTGAGATATTGAGCCAAAATTTGGTCTGGTCATAGCTGAGAACATTCCCCATCACATACCACATCCACATCAAAAATCCAAGATGGCCACCATAGCATACAAGAAAAACTTGATTTTTATTTTTAATTTTTTCCATGTTTAGCTGAAAATTGGTGTGGTGGTATATGAGAGCGAACCCCAACACATACTACTGACAAACCAAAACATTTAAACGGCTGCCATGTGGCAGTCCCTGTCAAAGTTTCTCCAGGAACTTTGTAGTTGTTCATAACCGGTCCACAGAAAACACCTTAAAAATCCAGAGTGCTTTCAGGTGATTCACTGTCGTTGACTTGGGCAGAAATCACCATTTTTGGAAATCAAAGATTGTCCTCTCCAATTAATCATTTGAGGAAAATATATTTTAAGCAATATAAGGAAAAGAAAACATATACTATTTATATAGGCAATACATGGTCTCTCATAAATGATGGCCCCTCATCAGTCGTTCGGTCCATGACGACTGGAGGGATGGAGCGTGATTATTTGACTTCCAGTCAATGCAGAGTTCTTTTTTAATGGACATATGGGGATTTCTTGCTTTTCTTCTTCTGTTTTAAACGACTTTCCTTCTTAATTAGACAAATCTTAATTGTAATTGACAACGTTGAAGCCTCTGGGCTTCACAGACGGACTGTTCTGATGTGAAGATTTGTGCCAGCAGACACAGAATGTCAGCTCTGAACTCAAATCAATCAACAGGACGGTCACTGAGCTCCACCTACAGTAATGACAGAATGACATTTCATCTTACAAATTTGCTTCATTACAGAAAAACTGCTGCAGAAAATGCGATTTTGTCTTTTCAAAATTCTTTGTATTCGTTATTGTTCACATTTTTCTGACAGGAATAATTAAACTGCAGCACTCGTCAGTTCTATGTGTCTTTTAAAAAGCATTTTAAAACCGCGTACAAATATTTATAGCTTTATTGATAGTTTACTTGTACAAGATGTACATTCATATTTCATTAATCAAAAGGGGAGAAAAAACAAAACAACCGTACGATGACTCGTGTTTAGGCATGCTTGCATATGAAATGGAAATCATTTGCATGGGTACAACAAATTCCATGGAGTACTGTGTTCAACTTAACCATCCCTGAAATCTCTGAAAACTCGAACACGCTACATTATTAGTATTATTTTTTTGTTGTTGTTTTTTTAAGCAAACAATGCACTACAGCCACACTTCCTATTTCAAATCCAACACTTAGAAAAACATACAAAAATAAATGCAAAGCCATGTAAAAATGCACACTATCAATTCAACAATTTAATCTCTTATAAACTTTTAGACAAAATAATAAATAAAACACCATAATGTTTAATTTAAAGTGGAGACAATAGATACATGTTTTTTTTTTTTAATGGAGGTCTGTTGACAAAAGCAAAATGTTAGATGTTAGAGGTACCTGAAGCTGGTCTACACATGAAGCGCAGCAGTGTTTAAAATCTTTTGGAAAGTATCTCAGAAATAATAAAACGCCACAAACGACATGCAAAATGGAGCTAATTGTGTTGCAAACTGTCTGGTTTGGGCTTATTCATGTTTATTGTCCAAACGAATACAGTAAATTAGATTTTGCTATTAAAGCAGAGGTGTTAAAAATATATTTTTAATTTTGGTTTTTCGTAAAATGTGCTAATTTTTTCCTCAACATCTGAGCCTGGTGATACAAATCTACTGAATTGCATGGGAATATGTCACCTGATTAATTTGTCCAAAAAATACCACCAACAACAACAATAAAATAACTCCATCAGTGCATGAAAAATTACTACCAAAAAAAAAAAAAAAACATCATTGGAGTTTTAATCATTGTAGATTAACCGTGTTCTGCTTTTATTTATTGTTTTTGTTGTTGCTATTTACAGTATTGCACTTAAACTGCATTTCAGTTTGACTGATGCTTTCTTCATATTTTCAGAAGTACAAAAAGAAAAAAAAAAGGTCCCAAATAAACCTTTTATTGATCACATGAATATATCAAACCACTGTCATCCTCCCCCCCCCCCCCCCACCCTCTCAGTTTGTGGAGCTTGTAGTACCATTTGTAAACACCCCCTTACAAGAACTGAAGTGCAAAGGCCATCTTCACTCCTTTACCTACAATATAACACAAAAAGATAGAAATAAAGACAGATAGAGAGCGCTGCACGGGGGGAGAATGCAAACCAAGTTTTGCCATCAATAGAAAAGGTCACACTCCACGTCTGCAAAAATATAAGGAATTGTTGCTTTTGCTACAGCACGAGTCCATAAGATATCACATCTTAAAGTCAAACATCACGTTTGACTTTGAGAAGGGTCAGACGGCAGTGATAAAGGTCATCCGTCCCACAGCAGTCCAGAGAACACAGTGGTTGAAGACAAACAAAAGACCATCGCTTAGTTTTAAAATGCTTTCTTCTTTTAATTAGTGAGGGGGTGGGATTGTAAAGGTGGAGAGCCGTTCCATTAGTTTGGTGAGGCGGTGTGTGGGTTTGACTCCCCCCAAAATTCGCCTCTCCATGCATCAGCAGAGCAGCGTCAGTGAGACTGTTTTCAACCCTGCTGCTGCTCGCCACTTTGCTTTGTTCTAACATCTTCTGTCCTGACGGGCCCCCAGCCCTCGGGGCCCTCAAACAGACATCCACATGTGTTTGTATGGTCCTTGGGAAGTGATCTGTGCCTGGAGTGGACTGAGCCACTGGCCCCGCAGAAGTCCTGCCTGTTGGGCGAAAAGTGAAAGGTGATTTCATTGGTATTTAATTACCATTCTCTACAAGTGGTTTGTTTTGGCAGCTGGTTTTGTGACAATTTTCTCCCTCCGTTTTTTTTTTTTTTTCTTCCTCCACTGTTCTCCCCCACCTTCATTCCTCCACTCACTCCCCCTCCCCTCCCTCTCCCCCTGCTTCTCTCTCTGTGTCTGTCTGCATGTGTTCCTCTCTTTCATTCCCCCTCAGTGTTTTTATTTGTTTTAGTTTTAGCTGTGAGTGTCGCAGCCCTTTTCACAGGCTCAGTCTGGTGTGAGAGGCGATTATGGGCGTCAGGCAAGTGGAGGGGCAGCCCGGTGGGGTCAGAGTCCCAGAGCCTCCGTGTGTTTTCTTGCCTTGAGTCGCAGGTCGGCGATGCTCGAGTTCTTGCTGTTGCTTTTGGCTGCCGCCGCCACCGCAGCCGCCGCTGAGGCAGAGTCAGCGAGAGATGCAATTGGTAGTCCAAAGGGAGGGGGCGGAAACATCAGGTAGGGTGCATGAGCAGCCAAGTGAGGGTGCAGGTGAGGGTGGGAGTGGGTGACGCCATCCAACTGGAGCTGTGCTTGAACCTGCAGATGAATTGAAAGTCAATGAGTAAAAAGTTTTAGATGAAGTTTCACAGTTGGACAATCTTAAATCCTCCCTCAAAGCTGCTTGTGCCGTGTTTTCTAAGAAAACAGATAAGGCTCTGCGCTCCTTTTTTTATATACATTTGTGTCAGCTATTCTAAAAGTCAATGAACAGTTCTCAGACGTGTCGTCCAATTTAATTGTCAAGAATCAAAGTATTTCCAGGATGCTTCACAGATTTCTGTAACTCATACTGAGGACTCGGTTATACCCTTGGAAATATGGAACCTTGTTATCCTGATTATGGATTCAATTGCATAAATAAACACATTTTGCACTAAAAAGATTTGGAGTTATAAATATTCATTCAGGCGTATTCTTGAGTCAAGAAGAAGGGGAAAAAGAAAAAACCCGAAGGAGCATAAGATATCAGTTTTCACATCGTTGGCAATTATTTTATCAGAAGTAGGTGAAAATTAAGCATCAGCTGACTTCAGAGGGAGCGAGCGGAGTCTGTTGCCATTTCTAATGTTTCAAACACCACAGAAAACATGGAGGACAACTCCAGCTTTCTTCTCCAACCAAAATAGAACTGTACAAAGTTAGTTTTAACTGAACTAAATCGTATTTTTCTCACTTTGATTTCACGTGATTTGGCATATTAAACAGCAAAGAATCACTTAAGCTGAAGCCAAATAAAAGTAAATATGACTCTGAAGAACAAGTTAACTTAAGTCTCAAGCATCAAGTAACAAACTGTAGCTCTGGCTGATGGTTTCCACAGTTTGGTGCCTCTGATGTGTGATTAAAAATGGTAAATGGTAAATGGACTGTACTTATATAGCGCCTTTCTATCTTATGTCAAGATACTCAAAGCACTTTACACTACAATCTGTGTCCTCATTTACCCATTCATACAGCACTCTACTAGATCTCTACAAAGCTAATTGAACAAATCATTCTAAAGAGACTAATCAGTGCTTTTAGATCACATTCATACACCGATGGGACACACATCAGAGGCTATGAGGGGTTCAGTGTCTTGCCCAGGGACACTTCGACATTTGACTGCTTGTGGATTCGAACCCCCAACTCTCGCATTGAAGGACGACTGCTCTAACCACTCAGCCACAGCCGTCCCCAACTTCAGGAACATAATGAAGGACTTGATGTGGTGGACTCATTCTTCTTAAGGTTTATAAAGTTAATCCATCCATCCATTATCTTTTACCCGCTTCTTCCTTTTCGGGTCGCGGGGGGCACTGGTGCCCATATCCAGCCATCACTGTGCAAGAGGCAGGGGGCACTCTGGACAGGTCTCCAGTCCACCACAGGGACACATAGAGACAAACAAGACCAGACATGGGCAATTTAAGGCCCAAGGGCCAAAAATGGCCCTTGGACAATCTCCATCAGGTTCCCAATATCCTTAGTTTAAAAAAAAAAAGATTGATTAAAAAAAAAAAAAAAAAAACCCATAAATTTATCAAAGAGAATTAAGGAAATTTAAGTTAAACATCTAACGCAAAACTTATTAAAAACATTTTTAAGTCACTCTGTTTCCAGAATTTGACTGAACCTTAAAGACTTAGAAATACAAATATATATGTTTGTTTTGCACATTTTCGTTAACATGTGTAACATGTTAAGATAGCATTTATAAAATAGTCACAAGAGCCAGTTTACAGAATATGTCTTATGTTCCTAAAGCATATTGGAAAGACACGTTTTATAAAGCATAACTATGCAACAATAAAACAAAGCCTGAAACGGTCTTCTATTTTGTAGATTATCTGTCATAAAGAAAATCCATCCATCCATCCATTATCTTTACCCGCTTATTCCATTTGGGGTCACGGGGGTCGCTGGTGCCCATGTCCAGCAATGACTGTGCAAGGGGCGGGGTACACCCTGGACAGGTCGCAAGTCCATCACAGGGCCACATAGAGACAAACGAGACAAACAACCATTCACTCTCCCACTCACACCTAGGGACAATTTAGAGTTACCAATTAGCCTAACATGCATGTTTTTGGTCTGTGGGAGGAAACCGGAGTACCCGGAGAAAACCCACACATGCACGGAGAGAACATGCAAACTCCACCCAGAAGGCCCCTGGACCGGGGTTTGAACCAAGGACCTGCTCGCTGAGAGGCAGCAGCTCTACCAGTTGCGCCACCGTGCTGCCCATAAAGAAAATCCATTTGTCTGTTATCTTTACCTTCCATTAAGAAAATTTGTTTTTCAATTCTCTATGCGGCCCTTGGATTGTTTAAATGTCTTGATGTGGCCCTTTGGAAAAAAATGTTGCTCACCTCTGAACGAGACAAACAACCATTCACTCTCTCTCTCTCACACCTAGAAACAATTTAGAGTTACCAATCAATCTAACGTGCAGGTTTTTGGTCTGTGGGAGGAAACTGGAGTACCCAGAGAAAACTCACGCATGCACGGAGAGAACATGCAAACTCCACCCAGAAAGGCCCCCGGCCGGGATTTGAACCGGAGCAACCTGCTCTCTGAGAAGCAGCAGCTCTACCAGCTGCACCACCGTGCTGCCCAGTAAACCAATCTGTTGCTAAAAATTCAGCCTTGGTATGTTTGATGGGTTTTTCATTGCATCACAAATATATGAGTACGTTTTATGAATTTTACAAGTCCACTTCATAACTCTTACCACACTACGTTTTATAAGTATTTATTGGGATTCTTGTATCCGTGCACGCCTACAGCCCCTTGCAGCCACATGCAAAGTGTGTTTCTAAGTATGCAGGCCCACAACCACCCCTGCCAGTACATCTCAACACCAATATCCATCATTGCCCTCTTCTTTTGCTGCTTTCATCATCCTCTTTCATGTGCTCGTGCCTGCCCCGCCACTGGCTTAATTAGGCCACCACACCTCACAGAGGTCAAGCGGACAACAGATCATCTTTCACCTCCTTCACACTTTAATATGAAGCAGGTAAACATCTGAGGTGATTTGCTCTTATTCAGCACTTGTGATAAAGTTCCCTCAACATTCACCATTTGCAAAATAATCAGATGTTTTTAATGTTTTATTGGACCTGAGCATGAATTCCCAGCTTTGTTATGTTGGGATGTTAAAGCTCTGACACCTGAGAGGTGAAAGAAGGAGGAGTACCTGCTGGAAGGGCATTCGGAGGGCGCCCATGTTGACGTACGGAGCAACTCTGCACGCGTCCAGGTGACTGCCGCTGCCGAGGATGACACCTGGGGAGAAGGGAAAGATGTCTGTCAGACAGCCAGACAGTTGTTGTTGTGTGAGATTGGGAGTTTTTGCAGCCAAATATTCTGACAGTAACATTTATATTTTAAAAAAGATGGTCAAACAGTTACGGAAAGAGGTATTTACCTTTGTGCATTTGGTTTTCTTGTTTTCGACATTTTGCTCTTCTGTTCTGAAACCAAACCTGCAATAAGACAGACAAGTGTTGTGTTAAAATAGTTTTGAAATGACAAAGAAATTATTTTAAGTAACTGGGATTTCTATGAATTCACTTTCTACCTTCAATATTTATTCATGTAATTATATTGAATGGGATTTTTCACATTACTGCACAGCCTTACTGTCTCCTTTTCGTTTTTACTTTAGTGATGTGGATTTTTCTATTTTCCACGTGTGAGTTGTACTTAATTATCTGAGCTGCTGCCTACATATATATATATATATATATACATATATATATATACATGTATATATGTAGTTGTTGTTTTTTTGGTTAAACATTGTTGAAATGAAAGGAAACAACTTTTTTTTATTAGATGATTTAGTGGTTACACCAATTCTGTATTCAAATGGCTGAGACGTCTAAATCTTTAAAATCTCTGCTGATTATTACTCATTATTTTCCTCTAACTTTTCATTCAAGCAGTGATTGAGACCCAAACAGAGTTGAATATTTTGTGAAGCGTCATTCTATTATAATTTTTTTCAATATATATTTTATTTCTTGTTTTATATGTTACTGCATTTCCTCAGTTTAAACTGCTGCACTTCAACAGTTTTGAATAAACGTGCTATAGCACATTCATTATCTTATTTTATTTCATCTTTTTACAAGAAATAAAACTAAATTCCTTTTAGTTTTTCCCGCTGCAATAAAATAAATTATGACAGAAAACGATGAGGAGGCATGAAAGGTGTTTAAAGCTGTTTATAAGCCGCCACAATGAAACATCATCATTCAGGGAGACTGTGATGATTTGTTCTCAATATTATTTAAAAAAAATAAATAAATAAAGTCATTAAGCATCCTTAAATGGGCCTTGGCCCTACTCTTAATCATCATCAACTTAATTTGCCTCGTTGAATAACACAACACACACAGAGAAAGAGCGAGAGAAAACCCCACCTTTGACACCCAGCATGATTCACATTCACAGATCAAAAACAGCAACCGCATAAGGCACAAACATAAAAAATGAGATGCAATTATTATTATTATTATTATTATTATTATTATTATTATTATTATTAT